AATTGTCACAATAAAGTTGGACAAGTACATCCGGTCTGCAGACAGTGGACCATGAGGGTGAGTCTTTTGACTGCCCACCTGCGACTTAGAACTTATTATAGAAAATCAATATCAAGAAAATTTTATTCAGGTGTGAAAGCAGCAAATTGAATAAGGAAACACAAGAGTATGGGCTGGATCTGCAAAATCACGAAACTTTTTTTGTCAGAATCAGATAAGAATTTTATAAGACGTTCATACAAAATTGGTAGAAACTGATAAGATTCGTATAAGATATTCATAAGAAAGTGATAAGACGGCTTGTTACTTTCTTATGAATATCTTATAAATTTCTTATAAGAATCTTATCAGAACCAGTGAATTTCTTGTCACTTCCGTGCAACATCTTATATAAGAATCTTATCAGAAACTTATAAAAAGCTGATAAGTATTTTGTATGTTTCTTGTGAGTGTCTTGTAAGATCCTTATATAAGAATCGATGTCTATGATCAAAGGTTTTCTGCCCCATTTTTAAAAAGTTTCATCGTTTCAAGTTGAAAGTTCACGAAAAAATTCCAGTTTCACGTTCCAACGGAATTTTGGAGCTAAAAGTATTTTGAAATAAGGTATGAACCAAATTTTGATCGAACAAAACATTTTGAAGAAAAAGTATGGATACGAAGTTGATCAGAATGTGATTCTCTGGAATATGAATTAAATCTTTAAATTTAAAAATCGAGTTTTACAAATTTAAAAAAATCTCTCATTCCTATACCAGAAAACTACAAATCGAAATATACAAAGCAGCTAGAAAGTGCTCATTAAGTAAAGCACAGATGGATCCTATATTCAGAGATGTTTTGCAAAAATTCATTGAAGATCTTACTAACTTCTTTATAGAAGTTTACTAGGATTAACTTAAACAAAGAGAAATACATTTTCTTTCACTCTCTTTAGTGCGTTCACATCTGCGTAAATATACATAACATGTGTTCATCGAAATGTGCAAAAAGAAAAAGAAAAAAAGTCACTTTCTATAATATAATGGATTGAAAATGGATGAACAGTTTTTTGCTGGAATAAAATAGATTTTTTCTGAGTATTCATAGATGAATTCGACAAACTGAAAGATGGCCATTGTTGTAGCACGTAAAATTCGCTATCAGATAGCTTGTAATTTTGTGTAGAGTAGTTATATCACAAATACGGCTAGATAGATCAGAGTAAAGTTAATTAATGATATTTAGCACTAATTAATCATTATAAAGAATATAAAAGATTTTCGTTTTTCTTCTGTAGTAAATATTCTTTACACATCTCTCTTTCGTTCTTTGATAGAACTAAATTTTTAAGATAAAAAACAAATGCAGTGGAATTTTTTTTGAAAAAAGTCCCGATCTTAAAAAAGAACTGAACTGAAATTTCCAAATAATTAATATTTTTCTGCTACTATTTCCCTAAAAAGTGTAGCAAAAGTGAGAACTCAGTTTATGTTTGGTACTTTTAAATGTGCTCTTTCTCGTGGTCTGTAAAAAAACGTTTTTAAAGCAGCGGGTGTGTTGGAGAACGAAGTTACAAAAATGTATCAAAACTTGACAACCTCCTAACAATGTGCTCAAGCAAGACACGGCAAACATTGAAGTTTTGATTTTGCAGTTAGGTAGAGAAGAGCAATCATTTCTGATCAAAACAAAACAAACCCGACCGAAAAAGCTTTTATTTTGATGGAGTTATGTGACTTTTACTGAAAGCACTACTATACCCAAAATTTAAAAAATTAATGAAAAAATGCATGACAACCGATAGAAAAACTATTTTTCACTGTGGCTCTTGATGTGAAAAAGTTTGAAGTGTAGCTAAAAGATAGAGCGAAGTCAGGGCTACAAAATGGCTAATTCACTTTTGCTTACTTTCAAAACGTTAATACAAGAAATCATTTTTGAAAACTTCAATCAAGGAAACCAATAATTTGCTTGATTGAAGTTCTGAAATTATAGTTTACGTATGATTTTGTAGAGTATTTCGCAGCGCATCTTTTAAAAAAAACATCGAGTCTCGGAAACAAATCCAAACCAAGTTATAAGCAAAATACTGTGATCCTCATTTATTCTGGCCCACTCGGTAGTTTTGGATAAAGGTTATTATTTATTATTTCATCAAAAGTTTGCTTCAGAATGCTTGCTAAACTTTTGTTCTTGTTCTTATGAACATTCATTGTACTTTGGAATATGACAAACGGGCTGTTGGTTAACATCACAGTCACTGTAAAATCTTGACAGGCAGCTAAACATCCAGATGGGCCTATTTTCATCTCGATCAGGAAAGTGTATCCAGGCGCGCTTTTTAGTTCGTAATTTTCCATCATTGATCATTTATTGCAAGCGTCGAGTTACCTAAAAGTCTACTTTTTGTAGATTAAAAACTTCTCAAAGTCTTTTAGGATACGATTGATAGTCTAAGAAAGTCAAGTGCACAATTTTCTTCATTCTTTCTCTCTGCTACGGCTAATTTGATCAATAATATTTGAAACTTTTGCTTTCTTTGTTCTTTCAACGTGACTGTGTATAGAAAAGTGGCGTGTGTGTCTCATGCGTTTGAGAAGAATAATGACCTTTGTCTCGAGGATACTCCTACTGCAATTATATTAAGCAAGAATAACACAGCGTCTCACTATTAATGAGTTGATTATGATTATTTAAAACTTGATTAAGTGCTAAATCAAACGAAAAATAATTTCCATGAGAAAATGGTATTAATTTCAAAACGTTTCTTAAACTTTTAAAAATACTCCCATACCATATAAAATAGAAAATCTTTAGAGTTATTAAGTTGGCTGACTACGAAAAAATTCTTTTCGACGACTCTGGATGAACTTTATTTTTCTTTCTGTAATATGATACACACTAGTAAAAAACTTTTTGAAAAGTATTAAGAATTAATGTCAGAACATTAAATTTATTACATATCTTTCTCTTCCTCTCCGATTTTCACTGTTGCTATTGAAATCAACCACTCTATAGAAAAACTTAGAGAGAGAAAATGAATTAACGGGACTAGTTAACTCTGCATACTATATAATGCGTCCATATAATTTCACATGATACGTAAAAGCAGGAATCAAAACTACCGACAGAGACTGTGGCGCTTCGATGTGTCTGGGAGAAAAAGGCAGGAAGTTTTTATGAATTTTCCTTCTGATATCGATGCGAAGAAAAATACTTTTTATTCTTTTTTGTAATCAAGGTATGTTGGAGAGAAATTATTTCCCTAATGGATAGGTAAAATTCCTTAGCCTATCAAAATCTCAGCTCTCTTTTTTTATTCATTCTTGCGTATTAATATAATAACAAACACAGGGAAATAAACTTGACGGAGAAAATATGTCAAAGAATCGGGTAATTCCGCAATTGGTTTTCAATGGTTTTTTCCTATTAAATTGTAATCAACAAGATCGCTTACTGATACTCGTTTCAGTTAATTTTCTAAATCCTATCGATTTTCTATCTCAATAAAAATATTTTGATCGAGCAAAATGACGACAAAAAATATAGATTCTAACAGATTACTTTTCTTATTAAAGTTTGATTTTCAGCGGTTCATCTTTTCTAATATTCTCATCGAAAAACAAACAGATGATTTAAAATTTAATAGAATCATTTTACTACTGAGTTTTTCATTGAGAACATAAGAAAACTTACCTAAAACCTATCCTATAAGAAAATTGTCTGATAAATTGTTTTCATTGAACAACAGAGCTTTTACATTGTCGACCGTAAATTATAGGTTACTGCTCATCTTTACTATTAATGTACTATTTGTGTTAGAATACTAAATAGAATACAGAAATTAAGAATCTTGCGACTCTTCATCAGCCGTTTACTTTCAGGTGATTCTCGTCTTATTTTAAAACAAAATGTCAACGATCGAGAAATCCATTCAATGGATTAACATATTTAAGAAGGAATGGATCGAAGGAAACGTTAAAAATATAATATTAAGAAAAAAATTAATAGAAAAAATTGTTGAATTAGAGCTAATATTAGGTGAGTATGAATTACACTATGGTACTATTGTCCATCTAAAGAAAACCAGTAGCCTCGGTTGCTTTTTAAATAACTTTTGATAGGAAAATGACAAATCAGCAATCGAAAGACGACAGTTTAAGCTATATTTTCGCAAGCAAAATCGTCTTTCGAAAACTTATCGAAGATCGGTTTTCTACAAGATCTTTGGGAAATTAGCTCAGATTTCTAGAAACCGACATAGTAATCTATCGTTCTTTTTCGTAGATTGATAGTCCGAAGCGTCCTCTACAAAATAAGATCTAAGCGAAAGTTTGGTTTTGCTTGATTCGGGTACTACGGACCTTTTTCCCGAAATCTTAGGACTGCTCTGTCGTTAGGTTTAGACTGTTAGAAATCCAAACGATTTTTTAATTGAAAATAGTAAAAAGCATTCTTGTACTTCGAAAGATTTCTAGAAAATCTTTTCAAAACCCAAAGTATTTTCTGTTGATTTTAAAGCTTTTATTGAACTGCATAGTATTGAGCAGGTAAAATAGAGTACATTTTGGTATTCTGACATAATTTGGATGGATCTTGACTGGGTTATGAATTTATTGATTTTACTCAAAAATAGGCAAAAATGGAATATTTCACCTACTATACGTTTTCACTAAGTTTTTGGAACTTTTTTGAAAAACAAATGTTGCCACGAGATTCAGCATAGTCGACAACCTATGTTTTCGTGCATTTCTAACAGTCTAAACCTAACGACAGAGCAGTCCTAAGATTTCGGGAAAAAGGTCCGTAGTACCCAAATCAAGCAAAACCAAACTTTCGCTTAGATCTTATTTTGTAGAGGACGCTTCGGACTATCAATCTACGAAAAAGAACGATAGATTAGATTACTATGTCGGTTTCTAGAAATCCGAGTTAATTTTCCAAAGATCTTGTAGAAAATCGATCTTCGATAAGTTTTCGAAAGACGATTTTGCTTGCGAAAATACAGCTTAAACTGTCGTCTTTCGATTGCTGATTTGTCATTTTCCTATCAAAAGTTATTTAAAAAGCAACCGAGGCCACTGGGTATTTTTTGGATGAACAATAGTTATAAGTTTTTCGCACTAGGTTAAAATGTAATACTTGTCCGCTGGAATTGGAGATAAGATTTGTATGATGTACTAGTTGGTGATATCATATAAAAATTATTTTCTTTTCAAATTTTTTCTCAAACGGCTGGATCTTCATCTTAACATGTTGAGCGTTTTTTGTTTTGTTTATCATTTTAGAAAATGGAGTTAGAGATTTAGAAGAACAACAAAAACGATCGCAGTTATTGGTTGAGGGTAATGAAACAAATGAGAAAAAACCATCGACATCGTCAATCACAATTTCTACCACCAAAGCAAGAGCTGATAAAAGAAAATATCGAAGTTCAAGATCAACTAGAAATCGTAAAGAAAAATATTCAAAATCGAAAATAATCAAAAACCAAACAAATAGTGAAACTTTTACTGAAGATTGCGTCATTCGAATTAAACGCATTCCTGATGCACTTGCCGAAAGCTCATTTCCAGTTATCAATACAAGTGTGTCAATGATGTACTATTCCATTTAATTCTTCTCTGATTTGATTTAGCTGACCCAACAATTCATCGTCAATCAACTCAACCCAGTAAAAATGGATCGTCGAGAATTAGTGAAGAAACGAGAAAAAAAAAACTAAAATCAACAACAAAGTCTGACAGTATGTTTACTAAAAAGAGGTGGTTTTCTGCTTTTCTTGTTGCAAAAAATAACTAACTTTCTCGTACAACTGTATGAGTATCTTTAAAGAATTCATCTTCTAGTCTATCAGCTGAGTTTCCTAATGCATAAAATTGTCAAAAGCACTAGCGTTCTCTTAACGTCACACAAATCGCAACCTATCGGATATTTTCATTCTTTACTTTGTAAATATCATTGTATATTCCTAGAAGTTGATACTATTCAATATTTGAACAAAAATGTTTATTCACTTTTTATAGTTTGCCGGTTAGTTATCCGCAATATCGTACACTGTGAAGTTTGAGATCATGAGAACACACATTTGTACAATTTTTAAATAAAATTGAAAATATTCTGAAATCCTAAACATACTTATTCTCTTCCTTTTCCGTGTTTTAGCAAGTAACTACAATACTGTCAAATTAAAACCAAAACAAAAGCAACGTATTGAGAACAAATCGCCTGTGAAATCACCTTTGTCATTAACGGGAAATCAAAGTCAAGAAGCTCACTTAGCAAAAGGAGTCAAAAAAGCAAAAACACATTCGAGAAAACTTCTCTGTTCACATTCACGTATTGCTGATGACATGTTAGGTTGTTCTACTAATCAGACTGGTGAAACAGAACGCTTTATTGGTCCAAATGGTATTTTAAAAAATGGAAGAAAACTCTCCGACATGTCATTGATAGAACCAGAGAAGTCAGTTATCGTTATATCGTCAAACGTGATTGATGAAATGCCGACGCTGTCTGAAAAAGAAAAGGACCAAAAAAATGATGTTTCTCCTTCTACAGTGACGACTACTTCAAGCGATGGTGTTGATTTAGAGGGAGAATTATCAGATGCACATTTGAAAAAAAACAATCAAATCTCAATATCAGTACATGGGCAATCAAGAAAACGTTCAAACGATGGTAAAATTAAAAAGCAAATAGAAAAAGATTTGGATATTGGTGAAACAAATGTAAAAGTTGATGAGCAAGAAGAACATGTTGACATATCAGATGATGATGATAATTCAGATACACAACGTCTTAAAAGAGCGAAAACAACTGAAGATGATGTGAATGAAAAACGCATAGATGAAGAATCAACACATTCGTTTGATGAATTGCTAGCAAAAATGATAGCTGAACAACAGCCGCAAATACCATCATCAACAGAACAAGATAATCAACTAGAACGGGGAGAGAATCATAGTGAAGCGCTATTAGTTCCAACAACGATGATTAATTCATTATCAACATCATCATATTTAGCCATGAAAGACGGTGAGATTTTAACAACATTATCACAATTCAATACATATCTTCCAGATAATATAGTACCAGATTATGATGGGAATAAAGAAGATAATTTAATAGACGCAAGGTAAACACAATTGCTCTTTTTCTGTTTTAAACTGATTGTTGATTCAATCATCCCAAGTACAAAATGGCTTCTGACTTACGTCTTAGGTGGAATCTGATTAGTTAATCAGGTCGTTAACGCCTTCTCCAAACTTGTTTCTGTATACTAAAGTCGAAAAAAAATCAGGCACTTGTGTTATAATGTATTTGATGTTTGTGTTTTCAACATCTGACCTTTCTTCTCGTCTCTTTTTCTGAACTATTTCTTTTCGAAACGTGAAACTGAGCGATGTTAATATAGAGCCTCTTCTTTGAACTATGCCTCATAAAACAGCGAAACAATATTGCCAAATCATTTACCTATTTTTTTTCTTTAAAATGCTCGATATGCGCGCATTCCACAGGTAATTATATTCACACAAATAAAGGCTTTTCGATCACTATTCGAAAGAAGCAGAAATAAAGTTGCTATGGATCAATCAGTGTACCTGTTCAATGTTTTGAAAGTTATACATATAAAGTCTGAGCTTTTAATTGTATCAGCAAGCGTTTAGTTGTCGTCTACCCCTTATTTGTAATATAATTCTTTTCCGTTGATTATCATTGTTGTCCTACTGTTATATATTCACTTATTACTTGAAAAATGACTTTTAACAAATTTATTTAGTTTAAAAAAGTACCATTCGTTCTCTTAGTGTGCTGTACGTGTATGTATATCTATTATTATTTTCGTTTTCACAATTTAGATAGCCGATCATGTTGTTTGTTGGTCAATGGTTATCGATTTATTTATTAAAACTTGGTAAATGTAATATTTACAAGTGTTTTTTTTTTTGTTTTTTTTGATGAACAAAGATAAACTTTTATTTCTAATCAAGAAACTATTTTTTTATGTTTGCTTGTGTGTAATGTATATTTTTTTTTATGAAAAACGATATTTTGATCCTTCATTATTTCTTTATTATTTTACTTTTATTTTGAAAAGCCCAATAAAGATATATTTCTTTTAGATGTACTTTTGTTTTTTGGAAGATATAAAAATAATAATTTGATGTTGAATAAATTAAAACACTCATTCGTCCTAATTCTATCAAATGTATATGTATAATTGTGATTTTTTGAAATATAAGAGTCAAACGTTTGTGACATTCTGAATATTTTTTTTTTGTCTGTTTTCATAATAAATAATGTTATATATGTACAAAAATATATTATAGAAAGCTGCATTTAGAAAACTATAAATTGCACTATATCAATGGCTATGGTTAGTTTTGTAATATTTCTTTCAAAATGTTTTGAACATAGGAAGTAGTAGAGATTTATTTATAATTTAATTTTTTAGACAAATGAACGATAGTTTATTTTTTATTTAATATTTTGTTCGAATGAAAAAAATATCTATGTATGCCAGTTTATTACATGATCATTTTTCATTATAATTAAATTCGGATAATAATATGATATTACGTGGAAAAAACAAGCTGGAGAATGAAAATGAACCAGTTGCGAAAAAACGACGACGAAATTCTGATGGAGATAGTTCACCAATTAAAAGAAAACCTATACGTGGATTAGCTAGAAAACAATTAACTGTGTCTTCTACATCAGATGATGATGATGATGATGATGACAATAATAACAAAAATAATATTTTGGAAAACAATAAATTATTAAATAAGAAAAAACGTGTGGTTGTTAAACGTTCATCTCCATCCAGTGACAGTGAGTCATCCGATAATAAAAAGCAAAGATTAAGAAAAGGAACGATGGATAATGAACGACGATCGGTATTAAAATTAACTCATAAAAAATCAACACCAAAAAAGAAGATTAAAATTGCCAATGATGTAATTAACTTGGATACAGCAACGATTCATGTTCAAGAGAATAGTATTAATGATAATAATGATGAAACAACATCTGAGAATGAGAATAATGATGATAAAGATGATGATGATGAATTATCAACGAAAAAAGGTCGAAAAAATATTCGAAAAATAATCAAAGATAAACAATTACAAGAACGAACAAAATCAGCTGTTGAAGCTGAGAAAGAACGACGAAGAAGAATTGAACAAAAACAAAAAGAATATAATAAAATATTGTTAAATCAATCTGGTTATTTAGAACAAAATAAAGATAATATGAATAAAAAATTGATATTAGAAATGAATAAAGAAACAAATGAATCATTAATTGAACGTAAGTTTTTATTATTAATACTGAAGTCACTCATGTACACTCTTTCGAAAACCTCCGAGATCTCTATCATATTGAAAGCAAGGATTTAAAATCGGTCGGATTACCCACCTTTTTGTTTTGCAGTCACTGTACTATATATGTAAAACATATACTTCACAAATTTACAAAGTATTTATTCATATCAAGTCATATATTGAGCAATAATAGACCAATATATTGGTAAATATTGCTTTCTGTAAATATATTACAGAAAGCAGGATGTCTGTGTATATAGACGTCCCAGGATGCAACGTAGACAGCATCCTACATGCTGTCGATACGTGAGTCAATATATCGGGCAATAATTGGTCAATATACCTAATTTTTTAGCTAGCGGCGCAGTGGCATCAGATACTGTCCACAATATATCGGGTGATAATTGATCAATATATTGACTAAATAGCTAGCTACTCTGACCAGTGTTTTTCGTCAACCCAATACATGGGGTATGATATCTAGCCGCTAGCTATCATACCCGATATAGCCAGCTAATTCAATAAAAGTGGTACGGATACTACCACAAGCCGATATTGCCCGATAGTATATTTTTGTAGCTAGATATTCTCAAAGACATTTTTTTGTTTGGGGCGTTTAAGGCATCCGTGCTATAACACAGTATTCTTTCCATAGGTGTAAACGTTAGAGTTTTACTTATAGGTGCAAAGAATCTACGCTAATAAGCTTTGTTTTCGTTTAAGTTGATCGAAAATTAGTGCAAAGTATGAAACAACATCAGTTAGAAGGCGTACAATTCCTATGGAACAATTTGTTTGAATCGCTAGCTGCTATCAATGACAAACGACATAAAACACATCACGGAAATGGGGCATTATTGGCTCATTGTATGGGCTTAGGTGAGTGACATTATCTTACATTCAACAAAAACGTTTAATAGAATAAACATATCCGTTAGTATTCAGGTAGTTGTTAATACTTAGTAGTCTGACTGAAAAATATTGGTTATCTAATTAGAAAATAAATGACTAGAATAAAACTCTTTGTGTAATATAAATATATATTTCTAATAAAAGAGTATTAGATAAAATCACATTATGTTGATTACTATTTTTTAATTCAGGCAAAACTTTACAAGTTATATCGTTTATTCATACACTATTTAAACATGAAACACTCACTCACGTTCGAACATGTGTCATTTTGTGTCCAATTAATGCTGCCTTAAATTGGAGTACCGAATTTGAACATTGGCTTGAAAATATTGAACCAAAAATTAATGTTTATCAAATAACATCCATGAAACTAAATGCACGTATTCCACAATTAAATTATTGGATGGAAAATGGTGGTGTAGTAATCATGGGTTACGAAATGTATCGTCGTTTAGCTACAGGCATTGGTATTAGAAAAAAACAATCAAAATTAAAAGCATATGAATGTTTGGTAGATCCAGGACCGGATATTATCGTGTGTGATGAAGGACACATATTAAAAAATTCTCAAACAGCTCTCGCTAAAGTTGTTAACCAAGTAAAAACATCTCGTCGAATTGTCTTAACAGGTACACCATTACAAAATAATTTAATCGAATATTTTTGTATGGTAAATTTTATTAAACCAAATTTACTTGGTACACAACAAGAATTTGTTAATCGTTTTGTTAATCCAATACAAAATGGTCAACATCGTGATAGTAGTATGGATGATGTGAGTTTTACTAAATTTTAACTGTCTGTAATTTACATAAGACATTTTTTATTTTAGGTTAAAATTATGAAACGTCGTGCTTGTGTTTTACATGACTTGTTAACTGGTTGTATTGATAGACGTGACTATTCTTTATTAAAAACTTATCTACCACCCAAATTTGAATACATAATTACAATACGAATGTGTGATCTTCAACAAACATTATACGAAATGTATTTGAAACGTGAAATTGATGAACAATCAACATCAGCTGTATCAAAAAAAAATTTTCAAAGTACAAAATTATTTGCAGATTATCAGTACTTAATGAAGGTATGACAGAGAGAAAAAAGAAACTTTTGATTTACTTACATATTCTTTTTCTACTTTAGATATGGACTCATCCGTTTATATTGAGACCACATTTTATTGATCAATATCGAAGACGTTTGATGAATGATTTGTTTGAGGATGATGAAGAAGAACCTGAAGCAATATTCACTGATGAAGAAGTAGAAGAAAATGGAAGAAAACGGAAGAAAAAGGTCAGGAATATAAATTGTGAGAATGTTTTATCAGAAATTAGCTGCTCGTATCTACAATTACATGAACAAGTGGATGAATGAATGCTCAGCAAAGTTTTATTTTTATGTTTTCTTTAGAAATCATCGAAGAAACAAACAGATGATATTGAAGAAATAGAATATTTTGATACTGATATAACAACAGATAATCAAGGTTTTATGATAGATAATATTAACGATAGTGTTGAAACGCATTCAAACAATAAGTCAGTAACAAATGTTAATTCAAAACAAAAAAAACGAAAAAGATCATCGTCTACGACAACATCTATATCTTCATTATCTACAACTTCATCGGATATTGGAGAAATTGATCTTCAGAACATAAATAATAATCAAGAATCAGATGAAAATAGCGGAGACGAAATTGTCGTTCGTCGAACAACACGTAGTCGCGCTACAATCGAGAATAAGTCAGCAACGAAAAAGAGATCAACAATGATGAATATCAAAAATTCGGATATATTTGATACTGGCGTTGATGATGATACAATTGTTATTGATCCAGAAATGAATGGTAGTGGCACAGATGTTGATGAAAAAACAGAACAAGAAAAAGAAATCGATCCATGGATGAATGAAATGCGTGAACAGTGGTGGTTTCCATTTGTAGAAGATAACAATGATGAGTTCAATTTACAATTAAGTGGAAAAATGACACTTTTAAAATCAATTTTAGAAAAATGTTATGATATTGGTGATAAAATTTTGTTATTTAGTAGAAGTTTATATACATTGAATTATATTGAAAAATTTTTAAAACATATTCATATGGAAAATGAAAAAATTTATAATGAAAAATTAGATAAACGTCAACAACTTATCAAATTATTAGAAAACAATAATAATACTGAAATGGAACGTAGACAAAATGAAAATTGTACAACAACAACAATAACAACAGGTATTGGTCGAATACTCGAAGATATACCAGAATCCATACAATGGATAAAAGATAATGATTATTTTCGTATGGACGGTTCAACAGATGTTCAATTACGTAAACGTTATGCAAGTTTATTCAATGATGAAACAAATTCGAGAGCAAGATTATTTTTAATATCAACATTGGCTGGCGGAATAGGTATTAATTTGGTTGGATCAAATCGTGTTATTGTCTTTGATGCATCATGGAATCCAAGGTACAACGAATTTTATTCACAGACAGTTTACTGTAGTAAAAAAAACGTTCAAATTGTTATTGAGTTATTCATTTTTTTCTAGTGTTGATATCCAAGCAATTTTCCGATCGTATCGTTTTGGCCAAACGAAGCCTGTTTATATCTATCGTTTTTTAGCACATGGTACAATGGAAGAAAAGATTTATCAACGACAAGTTGTCAAACAATCATTATCACAACGGTAAGTATTTTATTTTATTTCTATAACCTTTTAAAGCGATCAGTTTTTATTTTCATTTCAGTGTTATTGATGATCATCAATTGACAAGACATTTTTCTGAAGCTGATATCAAAGAATTATACAATTTCACTCCAGAATCATTGCCACCCGTCAAATCTGAACAAGAAATAAAAAATGATGTCAATTTTCCTCTACCAAAGGATCATCTATTAACCGATTTATTATATGAACATAATCAATGGATACATAGTTATCATAGTCATGATTCATTATTAGAAAATCGTTTAGATGAAGGTTTAAGTGCTGATGAGAAAAAAATTGCCATTGAAGAATATGAAAATTTACAAAAACATCCAGATCATTATCAACAACGTCTTACACAACAACATTTAGATCAAAAATGTTTAAATGAAATGATACAACGTCAATATATGCCTATGATGGCAACAAGTCAAAATCCAAGTTTATTAGCAGCAACAACAACTTCAATAACTAATCCATATTTATTAACAGCACATGATATATTTCAACAATTACTCGGAAACATACGAGAAAATGAGCGTGTAAAATTTGATATGGAAAAACTTGCACATTATGCATATAATCAAGCAATTCAACTCAAACATGAACGACAAATACATTTACAAAATAATAGTAATATACCAGCAAGACAACAAGAAACAGGTAATATAATATTAATGAACAGAGATTATGTACTTACTTATTACATTCATTTAGATCATCAATTAAAAACACAACGATATGATGTAAATGGAACTATCGATTTATCATCTAAAACTGTACATCCACAAAACTCAACGAATAACGATAATAATGATGTTATTATGTTAGACAATAGTGATGATGAGGATGTTACAAGTATAGCAGTATAAAAGTATTTATTAATGGACTATATGATTATTTGTGATATTCATTTAGACTATTTATTTAGTCAGATACTGTTATTTTTCTTTTTTTTTTTGATATAGTAGATTTTTGAGTTTTATATGTATATAGTTTCTCTTTTTTTTATTGGTTTCTTTTTTTTGATATTTTTTTGTTGTTACTGTAGAAAATATTATCAATTCTTATTGTTGTTGTTTTTATTTTAAAACGAATAGAAAAAATATGGTTGTTTTTTTTTGTTGTTGTTGTGAGATTACAAAACTATTGTTGTTTATTGTTCTTATTTTTTATGTACCAATGTAATCTCAATTCTTATCGTCTTTTCTTTGGTCTGTTATGTAGAAAAATCAAAACAAGTAGACAGTTTTTTTTTTGTTGAGTATATTTAAAGATTTAAAAAAATAATAAAGTACACATAGATTTGAATTTAATAGTTTGACTACATTGTATTGTATAAGTAATAGAAGTCATAATTCACTAACAGCATTTTTATTAATGAGATGTCAGATGAAAAACATTATGAATCAATCAAAAACATATCTATTAGTCTATTTGTCTTCAAAATAACATTCACAATTCATAATAGAAAATGAAACAAAATAAGAGTGATGTATTAAAGATATACTAGATATTTTTGCACAATCTGATAACAATGATGTTCTGGAAACTGAAATATTTAAAAAAGCAGAAATGAGAGTTGTTTTTCAGTCAACTTATATTTATAGAATGATTGGATGTTTATTGATGTTTTTAATTTTTCTTTCTACTATAGATGTTGTTTTCATCATTAATATAAATATTTGCTATTTAAAGTTGGATGAATTTATGCCTGACTCATTCTTGAAATATTTTCGTTTGATTAGTAAAGAGCTTTCTTAATTGAATTGACTATTATATTATGCAAAAAACCGGTAAGTAATTTGTTAAATGGCAAGTAGCCTTTCTAAATAATCTAAATAATATTTAAAATACCCAGTGGAACAAATACAAAAGTATGTGGTATTAGAAATTTCATTATGATGTCGCTAATCTACATAAAAAATAGAGCTTTCTAAAAGTTGATTGTGTAAAAACTTTAGTTGGATTTCATCAGAACTCTCACACATACTCAAAGATAGTTTTTGAAAAAATGGTAACAAATATCAATCGATAGAAATGAAAAACTTAGATCTTCTAATTTCAAAATACAAAGTACATTTCCTTTTAATTACTCTACTGTATCTGGAAGGAAGAAGGAAGAAGACTCCGCCTTGCGGCTACTTTGCGGTATTGGGTGCTGTCGAAGCAGTTTCGATAAGCCCGATATCTTCCCTACAGTTGATGATCTTCAGAGACGGTCATCCATTCTTCTACTACTCACCAAGCAAGCTGTAGCTCTGGACAGAAAGCCAGCCTGACACAGAGTTCTTTTCGCCCAATTGTTCGAGCTCCCCATACTCACTCACTAACCACATACAAGCACCGAAGTACCAGTGTATGTCACAACGTAGTGAGCATGCTATCGGACGAGTGATCCGAGACAATAACCGTTAGTAACTTGTCCAGGGTTACTCTATTCTACTGTATCTGACAGTTTCGAGTCTTATAAATTTCAGCTAGACAGGGTTTATAACATTTGCATGTGCATATCATATATTGAAAAAATAACATTTAACTGAAGTAAACACGTCTTTTTGAACTTTCTTATTGATTAATTACATCACGCTTATGTAATTCATAAACACATATACTCATTCTTGTTCTTTTACTTTTACATGTCTATACTTTCTAAATCAGACTAAAATTTGCGCTATTTGCTTATTAACAACATAAAATTTATTTTTGGGTGTTACAATACCCCAAATAATCGCAATACATTCAAAGACTGCCACTAAAGGTATTGTTCCTGCCGCACCTATCACACGCAGAATAAACTGAAAATAACCTAGACGTGCCATACTAAAAGATCGTACGGCACCAAGTAAATACAAATAAATAGTCACTGCTCCAATATATCCCACTAAAAGTTTAATAATCGGATGAAGAGCTATGGGACATAATGGTGTTAGAAAAATGTTGGATGTTGTTAGTGGTACAGTGAGCCATGCATATAATCCAATTCCTAAACAAAATCTTACACTGAATGGTAATTTTTTATCGTGAACAATAAGAATAATGCCTTGAATCCAACGTCTCCGTTGCTGAATAAAATCCCAAAATGTAAACGGAGATTTTTCCCACATTTCACCTTCTATCCAACCAAATCGATATCCTTTTGACATTGCTTCCATGGCAAAATACATATCTTCCGCTATAGATCCTCGTAGTCCAAAATCAAATGTAACGTGTTTTTCACAACCTGCTTGGCATACAACGAACGAACCTTTAAACAGGAACAATGGAGCGTGTAATACTTTTAAACAAAATCGTAATAATCCCAGATCAGTACCAACACGAATACTATCGGCTAATGTTGTAACTAAATTAACGATATTTTCATTGCCATAGGTGATCAATCCTTGACCAATTTGATATTGTCCATCATTAACGAAATTCAATATACCATAAAGACAATTATCAGTTAACAATGTTTCTTCATCTAAATGGACAATCCAGTCTGATGAATTGAGTAACGTTGTTTCTAATGCGTATTGTAATGCCCTCGATTTGTACATAGCACCTGTGGATGTTGTATATTTTTCTGGCACTACGGTTTGATGTACACGTGGGTCAGTATCCAATTGCATTGGCTTATCAGTCACAACTTCAAGCATAAATTTCAGCAGACCAACACGATCACAAGTTTGAATATTTCGTGCAACATTTTGACGTACTAATTCCGGAAAATCACCTCTTGTAACAACACGAATACAAATCCCTGGTGAAACTAATTGAGAATAAAGTAATTCGGGTTTTTCCTTGAATACGTTAAATACTAATAGGCCAAATGTATGACAAATAATTACTGAAATATTAGATAAAAGTTACTTTTAAATTCAAACAAGGGAGTATTTAAACAGTTATTCTCTTACCTGGTAATGGTAATAGTGCTAATAATCTAAGAAAGTATAAAATAATTGTCAGTGGTAAACCGTAAACTTCAATCGCTTTAATTTCATCATCCGTTTCGGTTTCAAATGTCGATCCAGAAGAAAAATTGACTCGACAAGCAAGTATTTCGAAAATAAATACAAAAGTTAAAAATAAAAAAACATGAATTAAATGACGTCGTTGTAATGAATCCATTCTTAACTTAATTTGCGTTCATCTAGATAAGAAAATATGTATTATTAAAGTAGACTAATATTTTTGTAGTACAATTTTAGTCTTTTTTTACAATAGAACATTCCGAAACGGCTATGATTTAAAAATATTTCAAGACTAAAAGTAAAGTAAATATGTACTTAGATACCGTTATACTGAAAAATGTTCGATGTACTCTTTTACACGCATCTTGAGGTAATTAACTTTTCACTTCAGCAAGTATCTGAGCTAGACATACACACACACATTTGTTTCAAAACAACATATGCTGAAAGTTATTTTCGAATCATCTTTGATTAAAAAATTGAGTATTTTGGTTACAGCACTGCATACAACGATTAAGAACTATTTTGATTGGTTAATTTTCTTACATGGCCGACTAAAGAAATATAGCGAATACATAAAGTGGTAGTAGGTCACAAGTTCTAGATTTGACACACGTAAACGGACTTCAGTTCTTCCAATTAGAAGGATTGCAAGAGAGGAAGTATCTCTAGGTTTTTAATATCTCGCATCAAAATGCATCTAAATATTTTATATTCACTGTATTCTACGGATTCAATACTACGTGGTTTTCAGGTGTTCTATCTAATTCATAAGCTTAATAAATCAAACGACCTTTAATCACTGGATTAAGTACTGTAACAAATTGATGAATTTTTCAATCAAAGATGATTCGAAAAAAACTTTCAGCAAATGTTTTGAAACAAATTTATTAAGTGTGAGTGTAATCATGTCTACTAGCTCAAATACTTGCTGAAGTAAAAACTTAATTACCTTAAGTCTACGAGGTTTTACCTGCAAATCTCGTTACTTTTGGTACACCCTACGTATCATCATATTTGACCAAATTTCATCAGAAAGACCTTTTTTAGACGCTGTAATAACAAGTATTTTACTCTATATTACATCCAAAATACTCTCTACAAATACTTTCTGCTTATATATATAAAAAAAACTAAGAACGAGTTCGTTTAAAACAAGAATATAAGTTGTACTTATACTGTGTGACAGAGAAGAAAAAAGAAGACACATGTTTTTCAATTCTTTTTTTGTTAAAAAACTCAAAAAAAGACAGCTGTGCTTGTCTAATGTATAAATTACTCGTACTATAGCAATAATAATAATAATAATATACAAGATTATCATGATCATTGATAATGCAATAGACACCGTTGAAGAAACAATACAGGAAGTTAGAAAATAAAACCATGTAGCCTTTTAATCTTTAATTTAATATTTTTTCTTCGTTCGAATATCTATTCTTATAAAATTGATTATGTGTTTTTTGATAGTTTTATTTTAGAATACTATAATGGAATATTTTTTCGCTTGTATTCTAACAAAATAAAGTTTATGTCAACATTCTTTCTTCTATGAGAACAAATATTGTGTGTGTTATAATTAATTCTTCATTCACCGTCTATAATCAATACTTTGTTTAAGAAAAAGAGTATTGAGATATAAAATGAAATGATTATTGCAATTAAGACATAATTATTCAATTAAGATGTTCGAATTGCAAAGTTAGGGCATTGACAAGTGTTTACACACTATGAGACAAATGACTATCAACCTTTTTGTCGAAAGCCATCAGAAGGAAGGCCTTGGACAAATATAAATTTGTTTGTTCAGTAACAATATATTCTAGGTGTGAATTTTCTGTATCCTATATTTATTTATTTTCATCGATTTATTTGTTTCCGTTAAATAGGGAAGTGTTTGTTATATACAACACGTGGTTTTAGTCATTCTTTCATTATTCATTTATTTTTTATACTTTTTGAGTAAATTTACTACGAGAAAATGCTGAAAAAAAAATTCTATTGTGTCTTGAATGTTTTTTAGTTTTGATGTTATTATAAGTTCGTTGCGTAACTCGTTGAATAGGTATCGAATTCTGCTATACAAAGAGTCCAAACGAACTGACTAATCATACAATGTCAACTTCTTTTCAATTTTTTTGGAAGAACGGTGTGACCTCGTCTCATAATCTCATCTTTTTCTCTTCGGACTCTTTTACTCGGACATTTGAATAATGGGCGAACTGTCAAGGACTATTCTATGGGTTTTAAGTATCTAAGATAAGCGAGTTCCACGTTAGATCGTTACAAGTTAGTGCTGTTTCGTATCTTTTTTGTTTTTAATCGTTTCTTCGCTTACGGTAAACTGATCCATTGGAACCGCCCAGAGGCATAATTTTTCATCAAAGTTTCTTTTCTCGAGAGCTACAGACTTCCGAATCTCTTGTTTTATTAAAATAGCACCAATCCGAATAACGTAATACATCAACATAAAGTTACGAAAAAATTTCGTTGTTTTACTCATGGTAATTAAAGTAAAATTATGTTAAAGTTGATTATGTATAATTAGTTAGTTCTTCTGCACACATTTTACAACAGAATTCGACACCTATTCAACAAGTTACGCAAGAAACTTATATTATGATCCGAACTTAATAAATTCAAGAGAACAGAATTGTTCAACAGCTGCTCTTACATAAATTTACTGAATAAGTATCAAAAATATGAATAATGAAAGAAGGATTAACGTCACTGGTCTTTTGCTGTTTTAGACAATATTTTTCTTGTGATATTTGTTTTGCGATATAATCAATGAGAGAAAGAAAAATTTAGATCTGTTCCTTTTTATACAATACACCAATTTCATTTTTATTTTTATTTGCATTCTTGTCTTTATCTATCTATAATCTACTCTTTACTAATTTGTCAGCCATTTTTTGAAATTCGATATGATTACGAAGTTAGATGCAATTTTTTAATATATTAATTAATTACTTTTTCTTCGTACTATTTCTTTATTTATTTCAACCGTTTCGATTGATACTTCAATCTTTTTCAGTGAATAACAAACATTAATTAAATTGATTAAAATTATATTAACAAAACAAAACGAATTAAATAGACAACTTTTTTCTTTTTCAAAACTATTAAAACTATTTAAAAACTATTTAAAAAACAATTGGGGTTGTTTTTTCCCCTTTTTGTAATTCGGCTTGACAGTCGATAATAAAACTAAAATATGACGAGCATCTCTAACCTAATACATTTATACCTTATATTATTTATTCATTCATTCTTTTCTAAGCTGAATGGTTAATGTTTGTTATCTACTGAAGAAGATTGAAGTATCAATCGAAACGTTTGGAATAAATAAAGAAATAGTAATTAATTAATATATTAAAAAATTTACTAATTTGGTGATGCTGGATTTGTGAATTACCAAAAACACATACATTAGGGTTAATCCATGGGTATCCAACCAGTTTTTGGAAAAAGTTTTTTTATCGACTTTTTTCGTTCTAGTTAGCTGAGGCGTGGTCAGAAAACAGCTTTGGCCGAAAAAAATTGCTGACTTTCATCTTAAATGAGGGAGATCTGGAGCTGTTTCTAGGAACATCTAATGAGGGTCATCCAAGTTATTTCAAGATTTTGGGCTCATATTTTGCCCATTGATAGAGGACCACTAGACTAGCATAACCTCCAAAGGATTCTTCTTTTGATTGAGATTTGACCGAGATATCAGTGTTTCAAAACATAGATTTTTCATTTTATAATTTTTCTAAAAATACTTTGTTTTGAAACATTCATATCTCGGTCAAATCTCAATCAAAAGAAGAATCCTTTGGAGGTTATGCTAGTCTAGTGGTCCTCTATCAATGGGCAAAATATGAGCCCAAAATCTTGAA